CAAAGTCTAGTCAAAGCAGAATCAACTGTTTAGCGTCTCCAAGCAGTTCACAGTAGAGACGTTCCTAAAATGAATCAGTGTTTTTGAACAAACTGGTTGAGTGAATAATTCAATAACTCACTCAAAAAGACATTTAAGTGATTTGTTGCTGAAATAATCAGTGTTTTTAAATTAATCAGCTAGTGAATAATTCAATGACTCATCTATAAAGAAGTTTACATCATTTGTTCCTGAATTAATAAGCATTTTTTAATGAATCGGTTGGGTGAAAGATTCACTAACAACGTAACCTGCAGAAATTCCCACCACTAATTCACAGTCTGACGGTCTTTAGTTATTATTATTATCATTACTGTTATAGTTTACATTTTTAATTCAGTAATTTTGTGTTGAAATGTCTGTTTTCTAGGTTTAACAAATTCTTTCCAACTATCCCCCAGGCCGAGAATCACTGAACAATTATCACTGAACAATTATACTCATCTGATAAGGACTCAACAAAGTCATTATCCACAGTTCAGCATTCATAAATGAAGTCTATGTAGTCCACCTGAGCATGTTTTAGAGCTTTGAGGCAAAAGGAAATAAATAAACAGCTTGCCAGTACAAATCTGGCACACCTCCTGCAGCCCTTCGCCTGCGGCAACCACCTCCAAAGAAGAGGAGTGTGCGTGAGAAGTCGCTTTATTCTAAAAGGAGAGGGAATGAAAAGAAAAGCAAGCACTTCCAGATTTCTTTGTTTAGTCCATAACGAATACCCCTGAATAACTGTCGCGCTCTCTCTCTTTCTCACTCTCCCTCTGTCTCACCTAGCATAAAGCGCTAAATACTAACATATTATAGTCATAATGAATGCAGCCACCAAATGAAAGGCCATTGTTCCAGGCAGACATGTGACTTTTATTACTGTGAGTGATCAAAATCAGTTATTCAGCGTTGGGCGGGTTGAGGGGGAGCGAGCACAGAGGGAAGTTGTCAGTCAGGAGCTGAAAGAGGTCACAATGCAAGTGGGGCGGTACATGATAATGAGGAGCTCTTTCCGATGCATGACTGATTAACGGACCACATAAAAATGCGCTGAACTTCAAATGCACGGATAAAACCCAGTCTTTTCACCTAATCCACAGAAGAAAGATCCGAAGCACAGAAACAATACAAGTACTGCCAACTCTCTTTAGCTCCTCTTTTCACATCTCTGTGGTTCCCAGACATTTTTAGTGATTACAGTAGTGTTTAACCCATTGTCTAAAGGAGAGTAATTATGGAGTGTGTATCCAGAGAACTTTAACCAGGGTGAAGTTTACCCTGGCAGTCTGCTGCTATCATACTCTCACCACATGAGAGTTCACCACAGCCAATGCAACAGTCTAAAGTCAACTCTGAGGTTCAGCACTGGGTCATGAGCATTGTGACAGGTTCTTCCTCCGGTCCACAAACAAGAAGGGCAATGCTGAGATTTTAGAAGATTATGTGTTATAATTAGAACTAATGTGGGAGTTTATGACTGATGCAGCATTATTTGCATGTTTGTGGCATTGTAACTCATGCCTCTAGCTTGCATTGCCTGTTCGGCACAACCCTTCAAAGCATACTTCAGAGGAGCATGTGACCAGAAATCCAAGAATATATCACTAGGCTTGCTGATTATAATGGTGCACCATTTAAAGCATGCAAATACTTTGTAATACATACACTATATATATAACCCTGATTTTCATAAGTCTCAACTGAGAGCAAACTGTGCAGATGGAACCATTAGACTGATATATATATATATATATATATATATAAATAATATAGAAACATGCATTTGTACCAAGTTAAATACTAAAGTTAAAGCCATAATGTCTACATCTTATACACTCAGATATATTTTAAAGGAAATGTTGAAACTCTAATAAGGCTAAACGCCCAGATGATTTAAGTGACACAGCTGACTTTATTATTACTGTAAAATAGGTACAAGCTGAGACATGAAGAGGCAGATTAGAGCTGAGCTGGAAAAGCATGAAATTCTACCTGTATTTCACCTTCTGCAAAATCCTTTTCATTAAAGGCAACTGCTTTTACCTTCACTTTAAAGTTGCCTTTCAATTTGTTCTATATACTGTAGTATGTTTTATTATTTAAGTAAGCATTTAAAAAAAAAGACATAAATGTGTAATTATACCAAACTATATATAATAATATAATTAGAAATTAATTATCATATTTTACTAAATTACAAATGTATTTCTTGTGATATTTTTATTTGTATGCACTGCTAATATATATTATTTGTAAATACACAAATAAATTCAGTTTTTTATATTCATCAAAGAATCCTAAATATATATATTTTGTTATGATTACTGATAATAATAATAATAATAATAATAATAATAATAATAATGAATGGATGATGAAAATTCAGCTTAGCCAATAGAATAAATTAAATATTAAATATTTTAGAATATATTAAATAGAGAAGTGTAATACTATTTCACAATATTACTGTTTTACTGCATTTTTTATCAAATAAATGCAGCCTTTCTTGAGCATAAGAGACATAAAAAAATCATACCAATCTCAAACTTGTGAACGGTGGTGTTTCAGTGATCTTGTAGAAGTGCTTATCTTCACTGCTTTATTGGTGTTTAGATGAAACGTCATTCCAAAGAAAATTCTGAGGTACAGCCAAAGAAAGTTTGGATGTTCCAAAAGGCACTACTGGCTCAATTATCAACAACAGAAAGCTACATAAATCACCCAGACAGTGACTGAAAGGTTGTGCCTCACACTCTCAGTGTGAATAAGCAGATCTGTGAGAGAAGCACAGCGAGGCCAAGATCTTTTTGTGAGATATACAAAGTGCAGTAGTGCGGAATGTAGTAAAGGTGCAGCAGTCAACCATATAAAGAGCTCTGCATAACACTGGCCTTTAAAAGTGAGGGGCACAATAGATGCCATCCCTCAAATAAGTGAAATAGACTATGGCATTCAAGAGAACCATAAACTATAACAGAGCTCACAATGAAAGATTTTATGGTTAAATGACACAACAATCAAATCAATATGTATTGCACAAATCTAACACAACACGGCACCAAGAAGTGTGGCTAATCCTTCTCTACTAAACCAACCAGAAGAACAGCAAATCTACCAGGGTAAATGGGTCAAATTCACACTTGTCATTTATGCAATGATATATACGCTTATCCCAACATACTTAACCCTATAAAGCCTAATGCATCATATTTGATTTGTAAATTTATAATGCATCTAAATTACCAACATGATCAAAACTTTGCTGAAGAACCTGTTGTGCACATTCTGCTACATGCACTCTGATTGATACAGTAGTTTATACCTTATTAGCAAGTAAAAGGTATTTTAAAGGGTTAGTTCACCCAAAAATGCAAATTAGCCCATAAATTACTCACCCTCAAGTCATCCTAGGTCTAGGTGTATATGACTTTCTTCTTTCAGATGAATCCAGTCGGAGTTATATTAAAAATTGTCTTTGATCTTTTAAGCTGTTTAATGACACTCAGCAGGTGTTGCATACTTCAGTCCAAAAGAAGTTAAATAAAAAGCGCCCATCCATAAAAAAAAGTCTCACACGGCTCCAGGGGGGGGGGGAACAAAGGCCTCCTGTAGCGAATCGATGCGTTTTTGTAAGAAAAATATCCATATTCAAAACGTAATAATCACTTTAATGTAGCTTGCGCTCACTGTTGTACACTGGAAGCAGTTCCGGGTGAAAATTTTCTTATATCATATTATTATGAGCTATATGAGCTGACGTATAAAAAATTTAATACTCAACAAAAAACACACATGCAAACTTTTCCAATAAACTGTTCCATTTAAAAAAAAATCTAATATCTAATATCAAAATGTGAGGACTAAATACTTAGACTAGCATAATATTTTAGAGTTTCTTTTAAATAATAACTCTGGAGAGGATTAAGGGTCTTAATAATTTTTCAAGCGACTCTAAACAAGGTTTCCTTATGCTATTAATATGATGCAAGATGCCTGTAATCCAGTTTGAATTCACCCAAAGCTATTTGAATAGCTGGAATTTACAGGCTATGTTTCCACGCATCAAGTTCTGCCTCGTATAACCTCAGAAAAGAAGTGAACATATAAATGCCAATCAAAATAACACTTCTGCTGGATGTTTTAACCTGACCCCTGACCTCAACATAATCATAGTTCTGACTTAAAATGATCATTAGTGCCTATAAAATCTTGTCAATGCAAAAACTAACAAGCACCTGCAAACAAACATTCACAATGACTGTATGAACCTCCTATTAATATGTAACTCCTAATGAATGAAAAATATTATGCAATAATATTAGCTATACATTTCAATAAAACAAGAAAGGAAGTGAACAAATTGTATGACAGGAATCAACAACTACTGCTGTAGGGAGGAGTGGTAAACTATCAGGACTAATCATTCTATTAAATAAGAGGCAACACTGCCTAAAACCAACCTCATTTTCTGGCCTGTTCATACCTAATCAGAGCAACACAACACACTGCAAATCTTCTGTTCATGGTGTCAGGAAAGTGCACCAACCATCTGCAGACACTAGACTTCAATGCATTGCACAACTCCTTAGCAACATCCGACAAGTTAAGGCACAGCCTCTACAGGGGTGAAGGCAGATAAGCTGCTGGCAGCATGTGAGAAGTACAGTACAGTATGTCCTGATGGTGCATGCTTGCTCCTCGATGATGATTACATCAAACCCTTTGGCAGAAAGACGCTTAGTGGGATTAAATTCAAATGAATGAATCCTTGCATTAAATGGAAAATGACAGATCTAAGAGTACTGGATAATAAGCTCTCACTACATCAGTGGTTAAATAATCTAAATGAACTGAATGAGAATTATGGCAATATATGGTTTTGCTACAGTGTAAATTATCGGTGTTTTTCTGTTGGTATGAGATTTGAAGAGTACAATCAGGTTCATCAAACTCAAAAGAAAGACTGAGCTTACCTGGGGAAGGACTGGCGACGGTCTTAATCTCTGGAGACAAACAAAAAGGAAACATATACAAGACCGTTTCAAGGTGTGTCGTGAATTAAACTACCAACAAATCTGTACAAAACAGAAGCAATGCAGGCATTAGCCTTACGGCAAACTGTTGACGTTAATGCAAACCACAGGGAACTGGTACAGTATTACTGGAACAATCATATTTAGTGTTTAATTAGGGTGAGGTAAACAAGATTTCCTTAGCGCATAGCCCACACCTTTAATATTATGACTTATTTTGAGGTTAAACAGGTATCTTGCTATAGTTAAAACTTAAGTAATGCTACCAAATAAACATGAAAGACAAAAATCTAACCCATGGTGCTTGTTAAAAGCTACTGTTTCTTGTGCAATTTTTGTTCGGTCATAAATGTCTTAATAAATACATGCCGTTGTTTGATCTACTAGCCAGCCATATGGTTCTCTACCATGTAAAAACAACTCCTGCTGAGGTTTAATGTCAGTGTTCATTCTTTAACCAATCAAAACCAGTTCAAGGTTGTGCTGTGACCTCCGATCTAAGACAGCCGGCTTGGTTTCATTACAAGGTACACTATTTATATCATCTTTTATTAAACCAGATTAAGTTGTCAGATTTTATCCATTTTAAACCATTAATACATTAGGAAGTCACATGTGAATTGGATCACTGAAGGTCTTTGAAATGATAGTGCCTACCAAAAAATACTAATAATACAAACTCCAGTCTTTTATTCCCTAAATAGTCCAAGAAACCACTTTGTTGCTGATGTTTGGGCATGCAGAGGTTCTAGCTACGCCTTGCTTAGAATAAAAGATGCTAAAACCCAGATAAACCCCTAACAGGTCATAAACCTTAAGAAGCTGCTGTGATTTACAGCTGCTATATTCATGGAAAGGGTCAAATGACAGCATTTCAAAGGCTGGTAGAGGGATAGCGCATGGACGCAGTCAGCCACCCATTACAGACGTTTCAGTGCCCTGAGAAACACTGCACTTTTGGAACAGGTTCAAGGATTTAGCTGCATTTTAAGAGGCAAATATGGAGACAATATTCAGACGAACTGAAAAGCGAGTGTTACTTAATTGGAAGTTGCTTGTGTTTAGACCTATAAACAGGCTGAAGGAGATCAGACCAGTTATGATTTAATCAAGGACAGTAATCAGTACAATTATATTTGCCGCTTACAATTTTTGGGAGATAATCCTTACTTTTCACAGACCCCCAACAACCATTTAATGGACTTACAATGGCCAGTGTGAAGATGATTTCACACCTTTCAACTGCATCATACCATAATATGATTGGGGTATAAAAAGGGTGAGATTGAGGGGAAGGGTTGGGGTAGTTAAATACTGATGAGCTTAACAGACCCCCTGGGTTAGAGCAGGTGGAGGGTCTGACTCCACTCAAAGCACTTTTAACTTTCTGACTGAGAGGGAATCTTCAGTGAAGCAAACCTTCACCATCTGTTATGAACAAGACTATACTCTACATCAGTCATTCTCAACCAGGGGGCCGGCCGGGTCTCACTAGGGGGTCTCGGCAAACTTCCAGGGGGGCCTCAATATATCATAAGTTAGATTAAAACAGCTTTAATTGAAATGCATAGATATCTGTAAAGACTGAAAACCCATGTCTTATATAATAATTATATCTACATTTTTTATGACCTCATATTATTTGATTTCTACTTTTAACATTTGTACTTTTAAAAATAAGTTTATCATTCTGCACAGCTATTTAAGTGAACTGCCAAGATACATTTTACTTAAAAACATAATGACTTAATGACTTGACAAATGTTTAAAAACTGTATACTTACTACAAAAATAAATGAATAAATAAACAAACCTGCTAATGGTAAAAGAAAAATAAACTTGATTTAAAAAAATCTTGCTTTAAAGCATGAAGTCACTTCATTTTTTATTTCTTATTATTATTTAATTGTATTTTTTTTAAACAAGGCTTAACATTCTATGCTATTTTCCTTTACAAGTAAATGTTTCTGGATTTAAGAATGTTCAGAAATTTGAATTGGAAAACAAGACAAATATACTGAGTAAAATATTCCTATTTTGAGGGTCATTATTTCATTTTGTACTTTCAAATGTAACATGCCTTACCTGACACAACTTTACTACTGTCCAACAAAATATGTACGCTGAGAGGGAGAACTTCGCTCTCATGTATCGCTCCGGTAGGCAGGCGAGATGCATCTGCACCTCATCCAGTCCTCCGTCTCCAGAACGCTCCAGTTCACAGCCCTGCGTCCCAGTACCGTTCCCAGCGCCTGTCTCTTCCATGTTTACAACGATTTCAACAAGTTTAAAAGTCCTTTAGGACAGGCAACGCGTTCTAAATGTACCTGTCTGCTTCATGTTGGTTGTTATAAAGTCCGCTGAATGTCACGGAAGGCAAAGGCTCTTGAACAGTGCATGACATTTGTGAGTACTCAACCGCGGGTGATAGTGCAAAGTTTATTTTACCGCTGTCAGTAGTTTACACATATTTTCCAGCTCCGCGAAACGCGAGATTTACTTGTGACGCGGCGGTGTATAAAAAGCAGTGCAAAAGTCTCTGTGGTGTGGAATAACAAATTCCTCCGTCCCACGTTGTTTGTCGGTGACAGTCGGGGGGGAGAGGAGTGAGAGTTTCACATCCAACACCTCCTCCGTCTACAACGAGCGACGCGACGCGACAAACCTGAAAGCGCCCACTAATAAGCCGCGAATTTGTGTACACTGCGAGCTATCGGAGTAGTGGATGGAATTCTGACGTCAACGCCCAGTGTACCAATCACGCGAGCAGCGCGACGCGACAAACTAGAACACTCACATTAAAATCAATGAAATCATCTATGTACGTTCATTTGCACTGTAAACCACTTACGTGTAGATACAGATGTGAATTATATGAGGTCAGTTGCATATTTTAAGCATTTTCTTTTAATAATAGATCATTTATTACTGTCAAGAAATGCAGTATCAGCTTTACATAGGCTACCCAAGGACCCTCATCCAGACAGGGACCACCAATATAAAATAGATTATAAAACAATAAATATTATTATTAAATTATTTAATAAGATCAAAATCATTGTCTTCAAGGAATAGTTCACGTGAATATGAAAATTTGCTGCAAATGTAGGCTACTCACCCTCAGGCTGTACAACAAGATGTAGATAAGATTGTTTCTTCATCTAAACAGATTTGGAGAATTTTAGCATTACATTACTCACTAATGGAACCTCTGCAGTGAATGGGTGCCGTCAGAATGAGAGTCCAAACAGCTGATAAAAACATCACAATAATCCACACAACTAGTTGATCAGTTAATGTGTTTGAAGCGCAAAGCTGTGTGTTCATAATAAATAAATTTATCATTAAGGAGTTTTAACTTTAGACCTGGCCAAAATACCAGACCAGTCCATAATAATGCTTCCTCTAGTGAAAATGTCCACCCCCTTTTGTACTCTAACATCAAAATACACCAAAATATTTGTTTCGGACTGTTTTTGCTTGTAAACAGCACTTGATCTGTGCATATTTCTCACCTGATTCAGATGAGATGACTTTTTCACTGGAGAAAGCAATATTATGAATAGAGGACTCATTTTAGCGAGAACGGTTTGAAGTTAAAAACATCTTAATGATGGTTTTGCTTGCTACAAACATGCATCTTTATTCTCTTCATAAGATGTCAATTGATGGACTGGAGTCGTGTGGATTACTTACGGATTATTGTGATGTTTTCATCAGCTGTTTGAACTTTCTTTCTGACGACACCCATTCACTGCAGAGGATCCATTGGTAATGTAATGCCAAATCTCTCTAAATCTGTTCCTATTAAGAAACAAACTCAATTTTCAGCAAATTTTCATTTTGGGGTGAACTATTCCTTTATCTTGCATGTCATACATCTGCTGTATCTTCACAGACCCCTGGTAGAAAACCCTGGCCATAAAAACATTAAGCTCTTTATTGTATTATATTGACATTATTGTAATCCATTTAGAGAAAAAGCATTAAATCAATGGCTCTGTGAAGAGAGAGTCGTTTTTACACCCACATTCAATCACAGACTTGTTGACGTGATTTTGTCTTAAAGCACAGCCGGCGCCAGGCCTGATACAGGGCTCTGTTCAGTCACTCTGTTGTTTGCTTTGCTATTGTTCCGTCTATTAAGCAACGTCTGAGCTATAGTCAATACGTACAGTGCTGACACCTCAGCTCATCTGCTTGGTTTCGAAACAGCCCTCATCTGAGTGTGAAATCAACCATTAGTACACCACAAATACAAAAAGATGTAATTTAAATGCACATGGATTCATAAATAGGTTTTTATTAATACTCAGTGACAAAGGCAAGTACATCAATATAAATATTGCACAGAACTACGATAATTGTCAGCTGCCCTGTCTTGAAAAGAATATAATGGCACTAAGAGGTGACAAAATAACCGTCTTACTACTCCATTCCAACAAAATCAGCACTTTACATAGTTTATATAGCCTACAAATTCATGCAACACATTCGTTTTGCAATATAGTCATTTATATTATTAGGATATTGTCAGTGGTTCAAGTCTTACATGCTATTAACAGTTATCTAATTCTTGGATTTTGACACAGCGTGTCCTGAGAAGTAATATAATTACATTTGTACAATAAATACAGCACAGATAAAACAACTTCCCCAATTTTAAGTATATCAAATAATATGAGAAACAGTAAGCTATCTGAAAAGCTTCTGTTCAGTGCTTACATTTTTAATTGTCAATGCCAAACTAGAGTGCTTTTATTGAGGATTATCATTGCATTCATTACTGACACCAACTCTGTACCAGATGCTGTTATGGCTGATCCTGATCTAATGGAAAACAGGTTGAGGCCCTGAAATATAATACTTTACTAATAGCTGCTCAGGTTATTGCAGAAAGGGCTTCTTCGAAATGACCCTTTGGCTTACATTTGTTTAGAGCAAGGATTGCGTGCATATTTAGGCCACTTCTAAAGGTACCATTTCTTTGGTATCTGACTTTATCTTTTCAAATTTTGGTTTATTCATATTAGGGGTGGGTGATATGACCAAAATCTTATATCACCATACGAGTAATTTTATTGCACGGTAACAATATGTATCACATTATAATTATTTTTGCTTTAAATAAGGTCTTTAGGATATACATTTTTTTATACCATAGAAATGTCATTAATTCTTGTCACCAATGTCAATATCACAAAAAACTAATAGCCTAAATTTAAAAATAAATAAATAAAAATCAACCTCAATAAAGACAAGTAAACAGTGATTAAATAAGAAACTAATTACAAGCAATAGGACAAAAAAAACTACAGTAGAACAAATAAAAAACGCTACATTGTATAATCAAATTAATAAAACGCTGCATATTCATATGTAAATTAAATATATATTTCTTCTTATTAAAGTTACAACAGAGATTTAGTCAAGAGCAGTGAGAGATTTTCTCTCTTCTGTTGTTTGATTAACATAAATGACAGACAGCAGGTTAAGAGCTGCCCGGATCCAATATACTGTTACACATGTGCTTTCTTTCTCAGCTGTTTGCTTTCACTTAAGACCTAAATTACTGTGTTTATGAGGATACTTGCAAAGACGGCATTTTGATATATACAAGTGTGTGTATTTAACTGTTCCAGGCCTATAAAATGGCAAAAATAACTCCGTTCAATACTTACTTTATGAGCACCGTCTTCACATGTGCCTTTCTGACAGTGCTTAAAATCACTTGTTTTTAAACTGCAATGCTTAAAAACGCGTGCAAATGATACGTTTTCGTGACCACGTAGCACAGCAACATCACATGAGCGTGTAACTGCGATAGAAAGGATAGTCCAAAATCTCTACTGGTTCATACATTTCTACTGGTTAATCATGTCTACCGGTATATTGCCCACCCCTAATTCATATATACATCCATAACCATTAAGAGCGTATATATAAATGGCTCAAAGTTAAGTTCAATGTTAACTAGCCACCAAAACATAGATGTACAGACGTCTATTTTTAAGCACATGTCTGTCTGCTCAAAGATAGATGTGAAGACATGTATAGATTAATAGTCATACCAGGGGTTGTATTTATGGGAATTCTGTTCAATAACAACCCTAGCTGGACTATTGCAGTCTAGGTTGAGTTGAATTTATCAAGTGAAAAAGGGACAGAATTGGCAGAATTACATTCCAAAATGGACAAAGACGACAAGTAAAAGTGCCACCTGCCTGCTTTGTGAAGAGGCCTACTATATGTATGAATGGACCTTTTTTGGGGGGCTCTCATCAATTCTGGTCACATCAGCCAGATCAGAGGTGTTCTTTCAAAGGGCTCCTTTACCTCATTTATTCACTGATACACAATTATCCGTCTCTGGTTTGAACTTTAATTGGACAAATGAAAATGCAAAGTTGATTCCATTGCTATGTCTCCAGCTGTCCCAATCCTTTCAAGAAATTTGAAAGTTTCTCTTCCAAACTCCAGAATAGAGCTTTTCAAAAAGCTTGTCAGATTGTTTCGATACACAAAAGCAAGCTGAAGTATAACTTCCCACAATGTCAAATTCCATAACTTTTTTAAGACAACAGTTTAAAATGTTTCCCTTGGACATTAATAAAGTTTTACTGTAGTTATTGCACTAGTATGTACTGTCAATGATCATTGGTTTGAAAACTCCAGCAATAAACTTGCAATAAAAAATAGCAGTGATTGCAGAAACACTATGGAGAGAGAAAAACACTGATATGACAGGTTTCAGACAAATGACACTTTTCAAACAAACAGATCAACAGACCTGTTGTTGCCCCAGGCTGACCGTGTTGCTGAGTTGACAGTAAAATGAGCAAACATGTCAGATTTCTTGCAGACGAAAGGTAGAGACTTTGAAAGCTGGTAGAGAGGTCAGCTGACCGGAGGGCTGAGGTACTGAACGGAAGAAACGAGTTTAAGACAGTCAGGATCCACAAATTCAGAATCTGTAAAGAAATTAGAAAAAGATTCAATGTTTCAATGTGCAAGTAGCGCTAAGGTTGAATCTCACCAAGAAATATGTCATATTTCCCCCACCAAAGTAAAAAAAAAAAAAACACATGAATAAGACTTAAAATACAAATAAGAAATTATACATTTATAGATAAAGATGTTATGTATTTTGACATTATTTATCCAAAAAAAAAATGCATTCTCATTAATCTGATATAAAATATAATGATATACCATTAATCTGGTATAAAAATCTTCCTGTCCAAAAAAAAAAAAAACTTTTTTTAATGAGCATAAATTAAACAACAACAAATACTATGATGTACCTGTTCACTTAGAATTGTACTTTTCACTTAGAATTGTACTTTAAATTTAAATAATATATAATTATTTTCACATTATAATAATGAGAATTAGATTTATTTAATTATTTATTTTTAATTATTTATTGGTTGGACAGTCAACAACAAGAATTGCTGCTTAATGTGCTTAAATGTCACAATATAATAATAATAATGGTCCTAAAAATTTCTTAAATTTTTGTTTATGCAAAATATGATGTTTTGACAGATCTTGTGACATTCACTCATACTGTGATCCTATAATTATTCACAAACTCTTTTAGCATCTGAAGTGAGTAAATTTCACTCCTGTCATTGTCATTGTCATTTATTTGAAGCAGCTGCACCAGATAAATTACTCTACTTTGAGGCAAATGTTTGTTTCCTTTAAGCATCAACCAACTCAACAAGGATTTAGCGTTCCAGCAGTGCAGTCTATTCCCTTTCCATCTTAGTGTCCTGCACAAATAGCTAATTCCACCCCTTAATATTGACACAGTCCCCATTGTGTACCACGTCATTGGACTAAATCGTCCGTAGAGTCATGAAACCAAACTAACAGCATGAGGCTTATTCCCTAAGCCAGAAAACAGAACAGAGTCCTGTTCAGCATCACCTCTCTCAATAGGCAGCAGTCAGCCAGCTCTATACATCTGCTCTGTAGTGGCTCCCGGGTTGCTAAAAACACTCCCAGGAGCACACTGATGGGTTATAGACCAGTCAAAGCCAACATGAACCCCTTCCCCTCTGGCTGTAAGCCGAACTGCTGGAGAGCAGCATCAGATGAGACAAGCATGCATAGAAAATGTCCTGCTCTGATGAAAGATGATGTATGAGGAAATACAGACAGGCTTAGTTTGATTCTGGTGAAGAAATGCAGGTGGTTTAAACATTCTGTTCAATCTCACACTGGGTTTTCAGCACTCATGCAAAGGGTTGTTATATGTCTATACTGCCACATAGTGGCCAAACTGTACTTTTACAGTGTAAAAAATTAACGCAGTTTTTTTATCTGTAAACCTCTCCATTTAATTAAAAACAAACATGTCAACATCTATCACTACATAATAAAACATATTTGGCTGAACTGTGCCCCCCACCATGCTGCAAGTCACTGGTGGCTTAGACTGAATACATGCTTTCATATTTTCCAGATGTGCATACAAACAGATGTCTGTTGTGTGAAGATCCACTGAGAGCTGAGCAGGAAATAAAAGCATGTCAAAAGACCATTCACTGCTCATGTCGAACTCTGTGACCATGATATAACCCATCCAAAACAAGCTGAGCAATATACCTCAGGCCACATTCAAATACATTTCCTGCATGAAAAAGCTATGTCACCAAGTACACCATGTCGTGTTGTAGGTGAAAATGTTTCAAATGTGAATACAAGCTTCACATTTTTATTGTACACTGATTTTACAATAACAAATACAAACTCTAAAAAAGAGAAAGTCCTTTCTCACACTCTTTTGATGTTGTCCTGGTTTTATTTGCTTATTTATCTTCTAAAGCAGCTCTGTTAAGAACAGGCAGACTGAAGGTGGATAAAAATCCACTTTAGTCTGATTAGAGTAACAGGGAACTCAAAATGAGTTCAGTATCTACGTTCAGCATTTTTTGGTACACAGGTGAAGTAATAGTTAAAGTGGTCATATGATGTTGCTAAAAAGAACATTATTTTGTGTATTTGGTGTAATGAAATGTGTTTATGCGGTTTAAGGTTCAAAAAACGCATTATTTTCCACATACTGTACCTTATTGTTTCTCCTCTATGCCCCGCCTTTCTGAAACGTGTCGATTTTTACAAAACTCATCGGTCTGAAAAGCGAGGTGTGCTCTGATTGGCCAGCTATCCAGTGCGTTGTGATTGGCCGAATACCTCAAGCGTGTGACAGAAATGTTACGCCCCTACCATACTGTGATGCCCTGTTCGGCTGGAGCGACAAGACAAAAACATTAAAACCCATTATAAACAAGGCATTTGTTGCATCCAGTGGGGACATAATTACGGATTATAATGACTTATACTGTCTTTTTACGCGTTGCATCACGCTGCATAAACATAAAACCATTTCTGCATTTGTGATCGGAGAAATTACAAACAACAAGCGCTACACTACACTGCTCAAAACTCGCGTTTGAATCGTCAGTGGCAAATTCTTTATATATAAAAAACGTACTTACAGACGAGTCAGAACAGCCGGCATTGTAGTCTACTCTACGTTACCAAGATCAGGAAACAGTCCTCCATAAAAACAACTTAACCACTGATTTCTAGCCGTGTCCTCTTTTGGAAGGCCAAACAAAGTAGTTTCGCTTTCACAACGAAACACACCGTCACACACGGCGGCCTTGAGTGAGCGGAGGCGGGCGGACTTGCGGCAACCACATGTGACGACCCCGGGCTGGACTCCGCCTTGTCCACGGTGAAAGCCGATCCGACGATCCACAGCGCGAAGTGGATGCATTTCCTCAGCAACCAGCACAGATCAGCTCTAGGCATGACGAAGCAGATATCGTCCTCTTTTGGAAGGCCAAACAAAGTAGTTTCGCTTTCACAACGAAACACACCGTCACACACGGCGGCCTTGAGTGAGCGGAGGCGGGCGGACTTGCGGCAACCACATGTGACGACCCCGGGCTGGACTCCGCCTTGTCCACGGTGAAAGCCGATCCGACGATCCACAGCGCGAAGTGGATGCATTTCCTCAGCAACCAGCACAGATCAGCTCTAGGCATGACGAAGCAGATATCGTCCTCTTTTGGAAGGCCAAACAAAGTAGTTTCGCTTTCACAACGAAACACACAGCG